CTTAGCAATATTGATAGGATAATCACAATGCAAGATAGCAGTAATGAGAAAGGCCAGGGTCCTCCAAACGTATATATCAACTCCTCCAAGGGTGTATAGCAGTTTGGCATCCTATACTTGTCCGATATACATTTGTATGGACAAGGTGATTGGGTAACTCCTCCTGCGGTGTTATATTTAAGCTAACATATCAACTATTGCATTGTAAAATGTAAATGATTTAGTGCCAGTGACTGGAAAATAAGTATTAGCAAGTACTCAAGAGGACAAGCAGTAAATATCATATTTAAAATTTAAATATCTCATAGTAAATCATAGTGAAGCACATTAATATCACCTCGTATGTAAATAAAATCAGCACGACTGGGAAGAAACTCAAGAGGACAAGCAGTGCATAGTAAAGGATCAGAACCTTCATCAGTTTTGTATGTTCCAACTGGGCATTCCTGTAAATGGGCCCCATCACTGAGATTGTCAGGCAAGTAGTAAGGAGCATCTTTAGGAATTAAAATATCTCACTGGAGATAAATATAAAGCAGTAATGATGAGTGCTATCACTTACAACTCAAGTCATTAGTCAAGGTGAAACTCATACATTAATATGGTACTAGAACAGACAAAAAGCAGTAGGTTCTACCCTCAATGCTCTCCCGTCACAAAAAATAATAATATGTTGATGGTGTAAGTGGGCTTAGGCCAAGAACATTAGGTAGAAAAGTGAGTAACAAATCAATTATGGGACAAAAGATTTTACACGTAAAGGGGAAAACTGAAGGTCTTTTTTTTGGACAGTTCCTCACAAAAGAGAGCATGCTGTTTCATTATGTGTTGAAGTGTTACATTTGATCAACAGGAAGAAGGCTAGCCAAGATAGCTATATATCTCCTAAATGGGGGGGGGGGGCGTGGGGTGTAGCCTCTTCTATGAATAATCATACAGTATAAACTCCGATATATAAAATTGAAGAGGAAGGTTAGATGATGTTTACCACACAGAAAGTGCCAAATAGGCCTTTAGGACACTTCTTCCCTGTCACTGTACCTTCTTCCCCGTCAAGGCCTTCATTATCACCCAATCCTCCTCTGTCAGATTGTAAAATTAGCAACTTAATGACGTGATAAATAAGCATTACAATGGAAAGAAGGTAAATTTATCAATATGCACCTCTTCAACAAAATCCACCATCTACCTCAGCCTTTCATATGTTTTGGCATAATAATTCAAGCAATCACATTTGATAGTATACTAAGGATACTGACAATATGAAATACCTAATGTCAATGGTTCCATTTAAAGTAGCAAGAGGCTCATAATCAATGCCCTCATTTATCTTGGACCAGTGAAAATGAACTCTGCCACCGCCCCCACCACCTCCGCCGATGAGGCCACCAGAGCCTCCAACAACAGATAAAGATGAATTACCCATTAGCGCCAGTGCATGAAGAAAAAGGAGAATAGTACCACCAGAACCTCC